AACACTAAAATCTTCGAAAAATTCTACTTTCTATTTTCAAACGTATCGAAATAACGGATTTTACGTTTCGACTAGCTGCACGTGCAAATGATTCGTGCTTTTTCTTGGTCTTAGATTATACTCTATCTCGTAACCTTATCTCATATTATCTCTTCTCATATCTCTACCTTTTTAGTGGTACGTCGAACGAATAACACACATTTTTGTAACGTACAGTAATCGTGTAAAATTTTCTTCTCTTTTCTTTTATTTTTTCTTTCTGCTTTTCTCTTACGTATACAGTACTCTCCCCTTTGAACAACGCGGGATATAGGAACACCGACTGATCGCGTAACGTAGAACGAACTTCGCGTAGTTGCGAGATCCACAGACTGACGCACATACTCGCATAAATACGCACATTTATATTCTTCCAATACACGTGCATGTATTTGTTATATTTTGTGTGTGTGGGTGTATGTATTTGGTTACACTATATATATATAGTACTTACATATACATAAATTGATTCGTAATAAATGTAAAAAAAATGAAATTTGTCAAAAAAGATCCACGCTGTTCAGGGAGGTGCATCGTAAAAAAAAAACAATAATTGCTGTTAATGTGAAATATCACAAGTATATTTTGTTGATTATTAATTTGACTTGTGATTGACACATATTTGACTTGTAATTGACATTTACCGAATGGAAAGTTAATATTACTGTTAATTATGCTTTTGTAAACAAACGATATACATATAGAATCTGAAAATAAGGAATTTTGTTTTAATATTATTAAAGAATAAGGGACAGAGGGCCAAACGAAGACATCCTAAGAGTTAGGATTAGGATTAGGGTTAGAGTTAGAGTTAGGGTTAGGGTTAGGGTTAGGGTTAGGGTTAGGATTAGGATTAGGGTTAGGGTTAGGGTTAGGGTTAGGGTTATACAACCGTGTTACTACATAGCGAAGTATGCTTCCCGCCAATATAGCTCCTATGCCTGTTTTGGAAGGGATAACGCACTCGCTATGCTATCGTTACGAGAATACACCGAGCAACGCAACCGCTCCGATAGATTCTTATGAAGTTTATATGGCGGGAAAGACGCAAATAGGAAGGGGGCTGAAACAGAGAGAGTCTAATGGCTGACCAGTGACAAGCGAAGAAGCGGGAAGTGGATACGCGCGCGCAAATCTTTCTCCTTGCTAGGCGCGCACATGCACTCATTCTCGTGTTTGATTTGTCTCTTGTCAGCCGCCTCTGTCAAGCCGGCTTCCGACATGGTTGGCCCAGTCGTGTTGTCGACGTCGTCCGATCGTGTTTGATCAGTTTTACTCCTCATAATCGGTTAAAAATAAACAATACAAAAGATATTTTTATTCTCAATTCCTTCGCCGCTCTTCGGCATCGCTGTAAATAGCGAATACTTCGCAAAGAAGCGAAATACCCGTGTTTTCGATTCAAAGCAGGAAAATCCCAGTTGTTGTTCATGTATATTTTTCGTTATCGCCTGTCCAACATTTTGCAGGCAGAATATATCATTACGAAGAACGTATTTCCTGATCGCGAGGAATAAGCGAAAGCAAACTCGAATGAACCAGATAGCCATCAGGAAGTTGTATTACAATTGGGGATTTTAAGAAAGCCAAGCTGTCTAGTTTTTAAGACGGTCGAGGAAAATTAAAGCGAAGAGCGTCACGCAGCGTCTAAAAATGACGAAGAAAACAAAGTTCTTTTGTGAATTCGCTAGACGACACAGCTGTGTTACGTGAGAAAGGCGTTTGAATACGACATCTATGTCATTTTCTAAACGAGAATCAGCGATGCAACAACGGTATCGGCCAATAAAGGAGAAACGACGGTGTCTAAGGTGATTGATAATATCACTGGTCCTATCCATGACGTATCTTGCCAACGAAGGAAAAGTCTTTCGTCCTGCGTTATTTCTATAAATTCCGATAACAGCGCCAAATTGGAAAAGCGAAAAGATAAGAAACGACGAGTGGCTTAATAATGAAAGTAAATGTATGTTAATGGTTCAAACGTCAATAATAGAGCGCAAGCATGATTGTAGGAATGAGACAAAGTTTGACGTACGATCGAAGAAGATTTGGAACATCGCGATAAATTTTTCCTCGATCGTTTTATTATCGTGTCGAGATATTTTCTACAACGTATACCGAGCTTCTTAAGTTCTTATAATTACAAGAATATCATGTTACCACCAGCCGCTATGCACTTGGAACAGAAACAGAGTACCGAAAGAATGACAGGTACACAACAACAATACCTTCATCAATATCGTGATCAATATTGTCACAATGATCAGCATCAACATCCTCGACATCCGCAGAAGCAGCAAGGTTGTCATCGTTATCGTCGTCATTATCGCGATGATCATTACCATCATCATCATCACCACCACCGTTACCATCATCATCATCATCATCATCGGCATAAACATCAACTTATCCCTCAAACTGATCAACCGTCACAACATAATTCTCGCCATTCACGAAATACGAATTGTCGTCGTACAATGTCCCCTTTGTCATCGTCGATTATGCCACATGACGATAATTCTCCCTCGACTCAGCGTGCGAGTATGTTCGTGACAGGTAAGAGTGTGGCAATAATCATCGATTCAAATTCGTCGAATTTCTTTAGAAACGCGACATTTGCGTAATTCCTTGAATTTTTTTTTTTATGAAGAAAAGGTAATACTCCTCGAGAGAGTTAAACGTTGTATAACGTGCAAACCATCGGAAGAATAACATTTGAGGAATATACTCGTATGTAAACGAAAATTTGATATGCATATTTCGAAATAACTTCGAAATAACGTTGCGCGCACAATTACGTATGCGATTACATATACCAGTAGTACTGAATAAAATCAATTTTTCTAAAATGCTTGTTAAAACATGACACGATGTCACATAGGAGAAATTATATATCCTGCGATATGCGACGAACTTACACATATATGTATATAACAGTGTTCGAAGATCCCTGTAAGCATTTATGTAAACCCCATAGGGCACCGTTTAAGTTCATTCAAATCTGCTGTTATCATTTACTACATGCATCCAGAGATAGAAGAACAGTTTCTTTTTTGTTATTTGATTTGCGAGAAGATGGCACGTATACATACATTAGAGGTGGAAGAGCAAACGTGTACAATTTGTTAGGTAATTGGTGTTAAAGAAGGGAATATAAATTTTTGGCAAGTTTATTTTGGAGAAATTATCGTGCTTGATAAGCGCAGATTGAAATTATTCGTTCATGGGTTGGTTGATCTTGGGTATGACATCTGTTTAGAGCGGTAATGTTTGGGAATTATCTGATTTTTTGTTAGAAACGGTTTTGTTTGTCAGTTTCAAATCTTATAATACGTGTTGCGTACGTGGTTTATTGACTAGGAGTTATCGATACCGGATAAGATCTGGAGTAATAAATTACAAGTAGTACAGTATCCGTTGATATAGATAGTTGGAATACATATCAGTGAAACTTATTTACGTCTTTAATGCTTTTGATCGGTGTATTGAATGCAAAATATGCCGGGCATCGTGTACGTAAGCTTATGTCACGAAGGTTACAGTCAAATAATTCTTATGTAAGTCTTAAATTCATTTTCAACGTTAATGACAAAAAAGAGCGCGAAGAAAATTCGAGCAATACTTTTCCTATGGTGTAGCTATGATAGCTAGTTTGATCTCGTTTATTTTTCAAAAATTTCCCAGTAGCCAAACCAAAACAGAGAGAGAGAGAGAGAGAGAGAGAGAGAGAGAGAGAGAGAGAGAGAGAGAGAGAGAGAGAGAGAGAGAGAGAGAGAGAGAGAGAGAGAGAGAGAGAGAGAGAGAGAGAGAGAGAGAGAGAGAGAGAGAGAGAGAGAGAGAGAGAGAGAGAGAGAGAGAGAGAGAGAGAGAGAGAGAGAGAGAGAGAGAGAGAGAGAGAGAGAGAGAGAGAGAGAGAGAGAGAGAGAGAGAGAGAGAGAGAGAGAGAGAGAGAGAGAGAGAGAGAGAGAGAGAGAGAGAGAGAGAGAGAGAGAGAGAGAGAGAGAGAGAGAGAGAGAGAGAGAGAGAGAGAGAGAGAGAGAGAGAGAGAGAGAGAGAGAGAGAGAGAGAGAGAATTCATTGGGAAAGTAAAGTCCAAAACTGAACAGGAGAAAAATCTGTGTTGCATGCAGTGTACAATATTTTTGACTGCAACAGAAGCACTAATTATTAACATCACATACTTCTATGATGATCTTTTGGAAAACTTCCAAATGTGTTACGGGTCACCGACTGTCATTATTACGATGTAACTTTGTAGATAGATATTAAGATATTCTATGAAACTTAATTTCGTAATATTCTTACGCTATCGATCCGATATTTTTAAATTTATTTTCCAGTTGCTTTGCGATACTTCAAAGCATTGAGGCGTGATTAAGACATTTTGATTACATCTTAACCACGAAATCGTTTGAAATTTAAATTGTGTCGCTCGTCTGTCTGTGTTTTAAAATTCCAAGAACTCTGTAGATCTAATTGTATTATAATATCATTTTCGAATGTCTCTGGGACAAATTGCATTTTTGAGAAAAAGCAGGTATAATAAAATTAGAATATTAATAGATAGCCATACATTGGCCAATGTTTGCCATCGGACAAATTATAAGTTTAACGATTCCGAATATTATGGTTTAACGATAGTTCAATTTTCTATTTTACATATTTTGGTTGCCGATATATATCGAAAATGTATAAGAGTAATTGCAAGCTTATTTCTTTTCGTAAAACAACGACGTAATTTACTTTAAGACGTTACATTTCCTAATTATATCGATTTATCGAGTTGATTGTTCGAAAAAGAGATGCGGTTACGTTATTAGATAGCGTTGTGCGCCACTAGAACGCACGATGCATCTGTAAACTCGCTAGCAACTCGTTGTATATTTAGCTCGATGGACGAAGAAACGTCTCTTCGTGTACCGACCAAACTAAGGTCGCTAGATGGCTTTTTCCTTCGGTTAGCTCCCTGTTCCATCAAGCCGATAATGTTTGAGATATAGTTCTGTTACTGTATGCTATTCTTATCATCTTTGTTGATGTCGTCGTCATCGTCGTCGCTGCTATCGACATCGACATCGCCATCACCATCACCTTCGCCATCGCCACCGCCATCGCCATCGCCATCGCCATCGCCATCGTGACACTCGACGTCGTCATAGTTTTCGTCTAGCCGCGAGGAGCTTGGATCCTAATTTTGTGCTGTCGGGTTACTGGACCTTACGTAACCACAAATTCAAACGCTAAGATTAGTCGACGGTGCAAACTAACCAGGATCGCAAATTTAGTTCCCGGGTGTATATATTTACAGGGGGTGGGGGGAGGGAAGAAGAAAAAAACGGAAAAGGAAACTACTATTGTACATATGAAAAGGATAAAAGCGATGAAAATAGTTGCCTTTACGTTATCGAGATATTCAAAAGGGGAAATCTCGGAAGGGAAAACGACATGTGTGAATCGAGAGAAAACTACATCTTTTCTCATTCATTTCTTATCTACTTTCTATTGCCCAACGATTTCATGTACACGTATTAAAAATGCTTGGTTCTAAAATCTGAATAGCTTAGATCTTGTTGATCGTTTTATGCACATCTATTTTAAATAATGTAACGATATACGTGAGATACGTTCGTTTCGAGATTCAATGAGATTTTTTAATTTAGATATATCTATATACATGTGCCTATATACGCCTGTGGTATACCTATACACATATTCGTATATATGTGGATTTTTGTCTCTTTTCTTGAAAATGATTACAAGTTGCAAGAATGTAGACGAGTGCGATGGCGAAGAACCGTGTAAATTTAATTCAATGATTGTTGTTTTATGTTTCAGCGAGAGAACGTTTTCCTTCATCGAGTAGTACCGACGACGATCAAAGTGGTTCCGATACGGAACACGACTCGAACGCGTTACGCACTAAAGTTCATTCTGGAATAGTTCATCACTCTGGTAATCATTCCGTGAGAAAACGTCGTGGAAACCTACCGAAAACTTCAGTGAAAATTTTAAAACGATGGCTTTACGAGCACAGATACAACGCATATCCAAGCGACAACGAGAAACAAGAGCTGAGTCAAGAAGCGCATTTGACTGTACTCCAGGTTGGTACAATACTCTACTGCTCTATTTAATTTTCATTTCGTGACCTTCTCGACGTCTATTCTCGTCATTGTAGGTTTGCAATTGGTTCATAAACGCCAGACGGCGAATTCTACCAGAAATGATTCGAAGGGAAGGCCACGATCCTCTACAGTACACGATATCTCGCCGCGGTAAAAAGATGCCCGCAGGAAGTCACCAACAATCATCCGGTCTTGGTTCAAGATCCAATCAAAATTGGGATTCGTTAGCAGGCATGAGTGCTCCGAAACGTAGTCGAGATCACGATTACGAAGATTCTGCTGGATTAATGTATCGGTTGGTTACAAGTTACGCTTTGATACTATCATATGCAACAATTGGTCGTCAACAATGTTTCGTATTTCATAATTTTCTTCTGTTTGTTTCTCTCTTTCTCAGAAGCGAAGAGGATAGCCCAAACGACTATGAGAGCAGTTCTCACAGCGAGGAGGAACGTCCATCGACACAGTGGCCGAGCGTAATAGTGTACCCTTACTCGGAAACTAAAATTGAACAAAATGTCAGCCAACTTGGCGCTTACGACGAAACGATTACCCACCCAGCGCGACGAGGGTAGGCATATTGCTATACACCGTCGC